TGTAAGTGAATTATTTCTTTTTCCATTATGTCAGAAGCAAACAGATTTTTCAGATTGTTGGTCAGCATTGTTGGATGATGTAGTTTGGGCTGCATGGTGGCGCAGTTGTTAGCACTGTTGCCTCGCAGCACGAAGGTTGCAGGTTCAAACCTCGGCTGCGGCCTTTCTGCGTGGAGTTGCGTGTTCTCCCCATGCATGCGTGGGTTTCCTCCGGGTACTCCGGTTTCCCCCACAGATCACAACATGCCCTACAGGTTATAAATTGTAAGTCGCTTTGGATAAAAGCGTCTACCAAATAAATAAATAAATAAAATATTCTGATGAGAGTCAGATCAATTCAGACTGAATATTCACAGCTTTAGTCTTGTATTAAATCTGTTTACACATCTCTCCCCATATGAATAAGATAATATATCCTGCACTGTATTATTAAATTAAAATAAAACAGTACTGACACATGCAGCTTTTTTATAATTAAAACGCCCACGTTGGCCGGTAATCACCTGGATCTGGCTAATGGGGAGCCTAAGTCTCCTCCCCTTCTGGCTGGCTCATGGGTCCCCAATAAAAAAAAAAAAAACAGAATGTTAGTGAACTGGGCTATAAAAGTTATTTCTTTTCTTTCTGGGCTTTGCCTTACACCCAGAGTCACATCTGTCAGACTTTTCTAATCCTAGAGTTTCACCGTCTATCAGATTTTCTATCAGAAGCTAATGCAGGAGCTAGCGGTAGGAGACTATGTTCATGTTCAGCCTGCATGAAACACTCAGTGACACGTTAGAATCAGAAATAATCATTAAATGTATTTTTTTCAGTGGAGTTGACCTAAATATTGACCTACAACAGATTTGTTAGATTTCCAAAATGTGTCCCCCCCCCAAATTAAATTTGTTCCTACGCCCTTGCTTGACGCAGCAGCAACTACCAGGCATGTCCACGTCCTTAGATTCAGAGGCAGACAGAAACCTCGGTCCTCTACCGTGTTGATTAGTGAGTCCAAAATAGTAATAAATGTAAAAATGGTAAAAAGTTCATGTCGATTAATTTTACCAAGATGTGAAGGAAAAGTCGAGTCTTTACTGAATGTTACCGCGATGTTTTTGCAGCACCACGACATAACTTGTATGGTTACATGACAAAACTGCGATTTATCAAGACAAATAGGTGAAAAATGTATACGACCAGACTCGGAATTGGGGGTCCAATATTTGTCATTTATACAACAAGAAAATGTGCACAAGGTGGGCCTGAACCATCGACATATATACCTGAACATAAGGCTAGCTAATCTTAGCACTTTCGCTGGGAGGCTAGTCTACAACTTCCGGTTCAATTTCCAGCCGAGCAAGTGGCCTTGTTCGAGATTAGCAGCATAGATATGTATAAAAACACTAGATGCCTCCTCCCCGCTGTTCGCCAATGGGATGCGACGCAGGAACGTGGCAGCCATCTTACCTCATACAGCTGACCCCTTTCTTTGCACTGGAGTGAATGGTGCATATACTGTTTAAATAAAACTAACTTGCTCAGTTTTAAACCGATTTTCAAAAGGTTTGATTTGTTATAAACGCCAGAGATGTGCCTATGAAATAGGATGGGTTTGGCCCAGAAATTCCTGTTATTTCACTCCACAAAACATTTAATCTTTCATAGATATTACATTCAATAAGCTACAGCATTTTAAAGTATAAACAGCCCATTATCTATATCTATCTATCTATCTATCTATCTATCTATCTATCTATCTATCTATCTATCTATCTATCTATCTATCTATCTATCTATCTATCTATCATCTATCTATCATCTATCTATCATCTATCTATCTATCTATCTATCTATCTATCTATCTATCTATCTATCTATCTGTCTGTCTGTGTATATATATATATATATATATATATATATATATATATATATATACTGTATTTGTGGTTTGTGAAATACGATTTGTGTAGAGATGAGATTTCAAGGTTCTTTTGAGGTAAAGCCCACATTGACAGAACACAGATACAAAATGTGCACCCCAACAAGTAAGACAACCAACACCCAAATCTGTCAGCCAGAATCGGGCCACCAGCAATAAAATTTCACCCAGCAAATTATTTTGTATTTTCACTATTTCTTAACTTTTGTTTTCTTATTTATTGACTTTCATTTATTAATTATAAGCTCTTTGGAAATGCTTTCTGAAAAAGTTAGGAAATAATCAAAAGATAGATTAGGTTAATAAATAAGATGGATTACAGTAATAAATAAGATAGATGGACAATGGATTGATCTTGTGAAGGAGATTTTTAACATTCATAAAACCAGATAAACAATGTATAGAAGAAAGCAACTTACAATGTATAACCTATAGGGCATGTTGTGATCTGTGGGGGAAACCGGAGTACCCGGAGGAAACCCACGCATGCATGGGGAGAACACGCAACTCCACGCAAAAAGGCCATAGCCGAGTTTCGAACCTGCGACCTTCGTGCTGCGAGGCAACAGTGCCAACAACTGCACCACCATGCAGCCTTACCGGGCAATCAGGAGTTTATATTCTTCAGAAATTTCTGGGAAACAGTGCATTTGGTGAGGTTTACAAGGGTTTAAAACAGAACAGCTGAAGCAGTGGCTCTGAAGTTTATCACCATTGATTAAGCTAATCGATCACTTTGAATATAATGACAGCTTCTGTTTAGTGTTTGAAACATATTACATGAATATATTTGGTTTATTTCAAATGAGAGAGGGGGAACCACTAGATGTCAGTCAAGTCCAGGTGGTTTGCCCACGACCTGCTGGTGGATCTGAGTGAACTCAAAAAAAGGGAAGAAGACAAATCAAAATACACCAGATTTCATTGTTACACAGATCTTGGATACAGAGGTTGATTCTGATGAGGAAACTTCAAAGAATGAAAGCATTCAAAAGAACTCCCTTTAGTTTGAGGATGTCACCATCTGTCAAGGGGAAAGAGTAATAAGACATAATTAGGATGCAGTTTAAGTTTTAATAACTTTTATTTCTAATAAATTTCTATCTTTCCCTTCATGTAAAGATACAGAATACATTCTTAGTGAGTCTGATTCAGCTTTTTAACTTTCAGTGCAGTTTTAAATATTTGAAAGAATTCTATTACAATAATGTCCGTCTGTGAACATCAGAGTGGTAGAGGACAAACAAATCTTCATGAGAAACATTTTTAACTTCATTTGTCCATGCAGCTCTTTACTCGCTCCAACTCCAGTTACTAATCCATCCCAACTAGATGAAGCTGTTTTTATTCTGAGACGGCCATGGTCAGTTTAGTTAGAGATGTAGATCATTTGACAGACAGCAGCAGCATTTGGCATATCATCAATAAAGTCAAATGTGATCATGAACATGAGTAATTATTTAATTTTTTCAGTTTAACCACATGATGCTGACTTCCGTGACCTGCTGAAGCATGCTACACACTCAGGATAACCATGGTAACACGACGTGTCTTCCAGAATAACCAGAGCTGAATCAGGACGTCTGAACAACAGAACCTTGACAACGTTGGTACTTACTGCAGGACTGTTCATTTGCATCTGTTAAATTATTTATCACTTACAGTCAGGTTGGGATTAGAGTCTTTACTTGAAGACAGAACAAGAAGAATTATTAACAATGAAATATCAGCATAAATAAATAACTAGATCATTAATAAGTTTCAGGTCAAACTGCTGCCTTTGCATTCATGTCCATCTTCATGTATTCACATGATCCTGAGTGGTGATGAGCAACAATCAGGTGGGTGGAAGCATCTGGTCTGGTCAGGGAAGGAGTAAATGCTGGTAAGTGGAGTGGTGCAGCTGGCTAGGTGATGGGGCCTTTTCCAGGATCACTGGTATTAAAAGGAATGGTAAGGGAGCTAAAATCCCTCCAGAAACACCACCCATCTGTACTGGTGCTGGAGTGTTGGTGGGGGTTTGCTTGTTGTGGTGCTAAATGATGTGTTTCTTTGTTTTTGTCTCTTTTCATCTGGGTTCTGGTGTCAGAGAGAGGGATCCTCTAGTCCTGAAGAAGTCTGGAGCTTGCTGATCTCACTGAAGCAGTTCTTTTGTGGGGTCTCGTGAGACTAAAACATGTCAATGCCTGACTTAAAATGTTTGTGCAGGTTGAACTTATCACAGTTCTCCGTTATTATGATCTCTGGCTTTTAATAAAGAAATAAATAAAAAATGTTTTTTTTTGACTCACATATGCTGTTTTCTAATAAGGTTTTAACCAGAAATAGCTTTATTTAAATTAACATTTTAATAAATTAGTTACTATTTTACACTAGTTGTTAGGGTGGAAGGACAATCAGCAGGGTTATAGATGCATTTACAATCACATGTTTTCCCCCAAGTTATTAAAAACGTGTTTTAAATTAGTTTAGATCATCTCATGTTCCATCTGACAGCAGGCAGAGAACAGACAGACTGAAGATTAAATCCTGGAAACAGTTATCTCTCCTGCTTGGTAGATCTGAAGGAACTACTGACATTAAAGTCTATATTAAGACAAAAAGAAGAGCATCTATGCTAGCATGCAGAGAACAGAAGCTCTCAAATTATAAACCACATTCTTTCATTGATAGGTGTATTCTATAAACACTTATTTTTATACAATTATACCTATTTTAGCTAAATATGATCTGTAACCCACGTGTTTTCTACGTTTTGTTTGCAATATATCTTTTAAAAATATAAAGTTGATAAATGTTTGTGGCGCTCCAAAAAATAAATGCTTTGATAAAATACATAATTAGTGTAATAATAAACATACATTATCGGTCAAAAAATATCTGTAGAAATGAGAAAAGGGTCGTTTTAGCGTCGAGTCCGGCCAGTAACCGCTCATGTTGACTAGCAGCGCTGAGCTGTTAGCGTTAGCATTAGCAACTAAGGGCACCGTAAATCACGTGACCACTGCTTTGATGATGCCACGTGACCACTGGGTGCTTTGATTGTGTCACGTGACCACTGGGTGCTTTGATGACGTCACTACTATGCGTCGTCATATAAAGGTCGGATCAGATTCCAAATATCATTCTGAACAGATCACAGCTCCAGAGCGGTTGTGTAGCATAAACATCCCTTCTGACAGTATTTAGAAGGACTCATTCTTTTACCGACAGGAACTTGGTGAGTAGCCTATCACAGTCAAAAGCTGAAATCAAATCAGTTTTAAGAGACAATCCATATTTTGAACTTGATAAGATTCAGTTATCAGTCACCAGTCTTTCAGCTTCAGTATTCAGAACTGGAAAACAGCCAATTAAGCTAAAATGCCTCTTAAGTTTTACAAAAACGAGATCCTTACCGGGCGATCTGGAGTTTATATTCTTAAGAAATTTCTGGGAAAAGGTAATTTTGGTGCAGTTTACAAGGGTTTAAAACAGGGAACAGATGAAGCAGTGGCTCTGAAGTTTATGGATCGCCGTGACTCGGCTTTCGGAGAAGTCATTATATTGGAACATCTCAGAGAACTCCAGGCTCATGAGAACGCCCTGATTAAGTTCATCGATAACTTTGTTCACAATGATCGCAACTGTTTAGTGTTTGAGATGCTGGATATGGACTTATTTGACTTAATGGAAATTAGACAGAAAAAACCACTAGATGTCAGTGAAGTTCGGGTGGTTGCCCGCGACCTGCTGGTGGCTCTGAACGCACTGAAGAATGCTGGAGTGACTCACGCAGATATAAAACCAGACAATATTATGCTGGTTAATCACCAGTCGCAGCCTTTCAGAGTCAAGCTGATAGATTTTGGGGTTGCTATAGAAACATACAAACTACGGCGTTATGATACCATTCAAGTGTGTGGTTTCAGAGCACCAGAGGTGAACTTAGGTCTCCCTCTGACTGAAGCCATTGACATGTGGGCTGTTGCCTGTACACTGGCCTTCATCTTTCTTGGAGATCATATTCACAATACTATTTGTGAGTTTAAAAATATGAGGCAGATCTTTAAGCTCCACGGTCTGCCTGACCAGGATTTACTTGGCAAGGGAACGAAAGTGGATCGCTTTTTCATTTTTGACCAGTCAAACCAAACTTGGAGGTTTAAAACGCCACAGGAGTATACGGAGACGATAATCATCGATGGCGACAAACATGATGTTGCGTTAGACTCTATCGATGACTTTTTAACAATTCATCCAGAAATACAAGACCCCTTTGAGTTAGAAGATCTGCAGGCTTTCGTAGACCTCCTGAAAAAGATGTTTACAGTGAATCCCTCAGAGCGGATCACTCCAGAAGAAGCTCTAAATCACAGATTTATAACAATGAGCCACCTTCCTCCTACCAGCAATAACTCATATGTGATATGGGCATATAAAAAAATGAAAGTTTATCGAATGGAGAAAGAAGAACCGAGCATATCCCCTGATTTCAATGTAAGACAGACTCCTGACAGAAAATCAGATCTCTCTGATTTCAATCCATCTGATTCTGATCTGTCGGACTCAGATCTCTCTGAATTAGAAGATTCTGACTCTGATCTGTCTGACTTTGATTCATCAGATTGTGATCTGTCTGACTTTGATTCATCAGATTGTGATCTGTCTGACTTTGATTCATCAGATTCTGATCTGTCTGACTTTGATTCATCAGATTCTGATCTGTCTGACTTTGATTCATCAGATTCTGATCTGTCTGACTTGGATACAGATGAAGAATCTAATGAGCCAGCGAACACATCAGATTTTCAACTCCTTAAGATTCAGGAAGCTAATTTAGCAGATATGAAGTTGCACGATCCAGAACTGGAAGGCAGCAGAAGAGACAGACTAGATGAAACATCGTTTGAATTATACAAAGATCAAACAATCACTGGGGAATCGGGAGTTTATATTATTCAAAAATTTTTGGGTCGTGTTGCTTTTGGACAAGAGGTCAAGGGTTTAAAACAGGGGACAGATGAAGTTGTGGCTCTCAAATTTATCCACAAAGACAACAGTGAATCAGCTACCGCAGAAGCCACTATATTGAAACATCTCAAGGAGCTCCAAGCTGACCAGAAGAACCTGATCAAGTTAATCGATCACTTTGAATTTAATGACAGCCTCTGTTTAGTGTTTGAGATGCTGGACATGGACTTATTTGGTTTACTTAAAACGAGAGAGTGGGAACCACTAGATGTCAGTGAAGTTCGGGTGGTTGCCCGCGACCTGCTGGTGGCTCTGACCGCACTGAAGAATGCTGGAGTGACTCATGCAGATATAAAACCAGACAATATTATGCTGGTTAATCATCAGTCGCAGCCTTTCAGAGTCAAGCTGATAGATTTTGGGGTTGCTATGGAAACACACAAACTATGGCCTTGTGATACCATACAAGTGTGTGGTTTCAGAGCACCAGAGGTGAACTTAGGTCTCCCTCTGACTGAAGCCATTGACATGTGGGCTGTTGCCTGTACACTGGCCTTCATCTTTCTTGGAGATTATGTTCACAATACTATTTGTGAGTTTATCAATATGAGGCAGATCTTTAAGCTCCACGGTCTGCCTGACCAGGATTTACTTGGCAAGGGAACGAAAGTGGATCGCTTTTTCATTTTTGACCAGTCAAACCAAACTTGGAGGTTTAAAACACCACAGGAGTATACGGAGACGATAATGATCAATGCCGACGACTATGATATTGCGTTAGACTCTATCGATGACTTCTTAACGATTCATCCAGAAATACAAGACCCCTTTGAGTTAGAAGATCTGCAGGCTTTCATAGACCTCCTGAAAAAGATGTTTACAGTGAATCCCTCAGAGCGGATCACTCCAGAAGAAGCTCTAAATCACAGATTTATAACAATGAGCCACCTTCCTCCTACCAGCAATAGCTCATATGTGATATGGGCATATAAAAAAATGAAAGTTTATCGAATGGAGAAAGAAGAACCGAGCATATCCCCTGATTTCAATGTAAGACAGACTGCTGACAGAAAATCAGATCTCTTTGATTTCAGTCCATCTGATTATGAACTGTCGGACTCAGATCTCTCTGAATTAGAAGATTCTGACTCTGGTCTGTTCGATTCCGGTCTGTCTGACTTTGATTTATCAGATTCTGATCTGTCTGACTTGGATACAGATGAAGAATCTAATGAGCTAGCGAACACATCAGATTTTCAACTCCTTAAGATTCAGGAAGCTAATTTATCAGATATGAAGTTGCACGATTCAGAACTGGAAGGCAGCAGAAGAGACAGACTAGATGAAACATCGTTTGAATTATACAAAGATCAAACAATCACTGGGGAATCAGGAGTTTATATTATTCAAAAATTTCTGGGTCGTGTTGCTTTTGGACAAGAGGTCAAGGGTTTAAAACAGGGGACAGATGAAGTCGTGGCTCTCAAATTTATCCACAAAGACAACAGTGAATCAGCTACCGCAGAAGCCACTATATTGAAACATCTCAGGGAGCTCCAAGCTGACCAGAAGAACCTGATCAAGTTAATCGATCACTTTGAATTTAATGACAGCCTCTGTTTAGTGTTTGAGATGCTGGACATGGACTTATTTGGTTTACTTAAAACGAGAGAGTGGGAACCACTAGATGTCAGTGAAGTTCGGGTGGTTGCCCGCGACCTGCTGGTGGCTCTGACCGCACTGAAGAATGCTGGAGTGACTCACGCAGATATAAAACCAGACAATATTATGCTGGTTAATCATCAGTCGCAGCCTTTCAGAGTCAAGCTGATAGATTTTGGGGTTGCTATGGAAACACACAAACTATGGCGTTGTGATACCATACAGGTGTGTGGTTTCAGAGCACCAGAGGTGAACTTAGGTCTCCCTCTGACTGAAGCCATTGACATGTGGGCTGTTGCTTGTACACTGGCCTTCATCTTTCTTGGAGATCATGTTCACAATACTATTTGTGAGTTTATCAATATGAGGCAGATCTTTAAGCTCCACGGTCTGCCTGACCAGGATTTACTTGGCAAGGGAACGAAAGTGGATCGCTTTTTCATTTTTGACCAGTCAAACCAAACTTGGAGGTTTAAAACACCACAGGAGTATACGGAGACGATAATGATCAATGCCGACGACTATGATGTTGCGTTAGACTCTATCGATGACTTCTTAACGATTCATCCAGAAATACAAGACCCCTTTGAGTTAGAAGATCTGCAGGCTTTCGTAGACCTCCTGAAAAAGATGTTTACAGTGAATCCCTCAGAGCGGATCACTCCAGAAGAAGCTCTAAATCACAGATTTATAACAATGAGCCACCTTCCTCCTACCAGCAATAACTCATATGTGATATGGGCATATGAAAAAATGAAAGTTTATCGAATGGAGAAAGAAGAACCGAGCATATCCCCTGATTTCAATGTAAGACAGACTGCTGACAGAAAATCAGATCTCTTTGATTTCAGTCCATCTGATTATGATCTGTCGGACTCAGATCTCTCTGAATTAGAAGATTCTGACTCTGGTCTGTTCGACTCCGGTCTGTCTGACTTTGATTTATCAGATTCTGATCTGTCTGACTTGGATACAGATGAAGAATCGGCATTTGAAAAAAGGAAAGTTTATATAATGTAGGAAGAGGAAACAAGCGGCCCGTCACCTGATTTCATCGTGGGACAGACCGCTGACAACAAATCAAATCTCTTTGATCTGAATCTGTCTGATCACAATCTGTCAGACTCAGATCTCTGTGAATTAGAAGATTCTAACTCTGATCTGTCTGACTTAGATACTGACGAGCCAGTGAACACGTGAGAATTGGATGTTGACAAGTTTCAGAAAGCTGATTTATCAAACTTTAAGCAGTACGATTCGGAACTGGAAGCCAGATGAAGAGACAGCCTAGATGAAATGTCATTTGAATTATACAAAGATCAGACAATCCCTGGGGATCCAAGAGTTTATGTTAGTCAATATTTTCTTAGATAAGTTTATTTAGACAAGTGGTCAAGGGTTTAAAACAGGGGGCAGATGAAGTCGTGGCTCTCAGATGTGTCCACAAAGACAACACGGGAGCAGCTACCAGAGAATCCACTATATTAAAACATTTCAGGGAGCTCCAAGCTGACCAGAAGAGCCTGATTATGTCAATCGATCACTTTGAATATAATAGGAGTGGCTGGATAGGCCTAGAAAAAAATGTGGGGTCTGCACTTCAGATTAGTCAGTGTGTTAGCTCTAGTAGAGTTCAGCCTGTGGCGTTGCATTGCACGTTCCTTTATTCTTTCTCATAAAAAAAAGCAAAAAGTCCATTACACTCAGATCAAAATTGAAGAATGCAAAATTAGTTACACTACTGTGGATACGGAGGAAGATTCTCAGGAGGAAACTTCAAACTTAGCATTCAAAGTTTTAACGTTTAGTGTTAGCGTTTAGTTTTAGCGTTTAGTTTTAGTGTTTAGTGTTAGCGTTTAGTTTTAGCGTTTAGTGTTAGCGTTTAGTTTTAGCATTTAGTATTAGCGTTTAGTTTTAGCGTTTAGTTTTAGCGTTTAGTGTTAGCGTTTAGTTTTAGCGTTTAGTGTTAGCGTTTAGTTTTAGCGTTTAGTTTTAGCGTTTAGTGTTAGCGTTTAGTTTTAGCGTTTAGTGTTAGCATTTAGGTTTAGCGTTTAGTTTTAGCGTTTAGTGTTAGCGTTTAGTGTTAGCGTTTAGTTTTAGCGTTTAGTGTTAGCGTTTAGTTTTAGCATTTAGTATTAGCGTTTAGTTTTAGCGTTTAGTGTTAGCGTTTAGTTTTAGCGTTTAGTGTTAGCGTTTAGTTTTAGCGTTTAGTGTTAGCGTTTAGTTTTAGCATTCTAAAACTGGGTTAGGCCATAACAGGGCTGGGGTTAGTTGGGTTAGTAATAAAGTAAACAAACAAAAAAATAAATTAAAAAAAATAATCCTCTACTATTAATCGCCACCTTATCGCGGTGTAGGGGTTTGCGTGCCCTGATGACCCCAGAAGGTATGTTGCCTGGGACTGTTTGTCCCTGTTAGGTTCTGCCATGGCAACTGGGCTCTGGGTCAGGGGCCAGACTAAGAGCGATTAATTAATTCTTATTAGGACTACAAAAGCAGTGGAGAAAAACTCTCTCCAAGACTTTTTAAATGATTGAGTTTTAGTAGTTACGTAGTTGGTATAAAAGAAAAGTTTTCACAGAAAATATTTTCCGTTATCTAGATCAGTGGTTCCCAACTTGACCCTCCAAAGGGGTCCCCACAACTGTGTCTGTGCTGAGGTTGTTGGGTTACAAAGATTATTTATTATTTGTAAAAAATTACTTTTCTAAAATCCCAATTACACGCCCAACTGTGTAATCAAAAATATGTATAGGAGTTACAACACCGCATGTCTGTGCAGTTTGTAACTAATCATGTGTGATGTGTGTTTGTAGATGGGGTTGGGGGGGGTCCTGGCTTGTTTTCAACACTGGTACGGGGGTCTTCATGGTAAACAGTTGGGAACAACTGATCTAGATGAAATATGGTGTTTACTAATTTAAAAACTGTAGAAATTTTAAAGTAGTATATTTTATTCTGAAAGTATTTACAGGAAGTGCCAATCATCTTGTTTAACTTGATATAAACGCTGTGGTAACAGCTTCTGTCCGCAAGAGGGCGGAAACATCCTTCATCGTGAAAGTCAGACAATGAAGGGTTTGCTTGTTTCAACCATCGACATGTGGTTTCTACCCAGTTGATCTGAAAAATTACATAAATCCCTTCAGTCAAATGCTGATTACAAATAAACCAATTAAAAATCAATTTAGACAGAAACATGTATACAAAAGTATTTCTATTTGTTAATGCTTATTTTGTGCATTTGGTTTAGTTTTATTTCTGAATTTCAGAGGTTATTTTTAAAGTTATTGATGAAACAAGGACCAGTAAGTAGACTGGATGCGGTCAAAACTCCAGAAGATGGCAGTAATGCAGCTGTGCTGCTAAACAGCTCTTTAATACCAGGACCATTTGTCACGGTCCGTGGTGAGCCTCCTGCATGTAATCTGTTTGTTCTGAGTATTGTTGTAGGTGGGTGTGTCTGAGAGCCACCAGCTGCAGCTGATCCCGTCATCAAGGCCCAGGGGATTTAAGGAGCAGTGTGACACTTCACCACGCCGGATGATTGCTCAGCTTTGGGTTTCACTCCACCCTCCACCATCTCAATACCAGCTCAGATTCCTGCACTTCATCTCATGCTGTCTCCTCCCCTGGCCGCCCGCTCTCAGCCGCTCACCTGCACCCACCAAGCCTCTGCTCCTACCTCCTCTCATATTCGACAGCCCCTCCTCCTTCTGGAGCCTTCCTGCTCACCCGGACCTGACCTAGCCCTTCCAGAGGCTCTCACCACTATCTACATCAGTAAGCTCTCCTCCTCATATTATCCTCCATCATTCCCTCCATATACTCACTCTTTCTCCCTCCTCAGAATCCTCTCCTGGAGCCTTGCTGCCAGCCTGCACGTCGCCTGTTCCCGTTCCTCTGATTTAATAATAAAGAACGTTTTACTTACTTGCCGGTTTCTTGTGATGATTCTGCATGTCGTGGGTCAAGAAACTCTCACCCGCCATGACACCATTAGCTTTACAACAGGTGTTTATTATAAAATACTCATCTGTGTCCGTATGTTTTTAAACTACTGAGTGTGACTTTATTGTTGTGGTTTATTATCAAAAGATTAATGGTTAATAAGTTTTATTATAAGATTAAACTCAGACACATACAGGATTATTGATGTTTCACAGATAATTTCAACTACTGTGAATATTTGATGACAGTTTCATTCTGATCGTGATTCGTTTCAGCCACAAACATTCCGAGGACCTTCTGCAACGTGCTACCTGATGGTGACATGCAGTCGAGAGGACAATAGAAGCTCCAGGTGTTTGTGGAATGTCAGAGCTTGTGTGTGTGACAGAGCGTGTGTGTGTGAGTGGTAGGTGAGTCTGTAACAGTAACTGGTCTGGCTCAGGTCAGGATGTGAGAACGTGTCCATGAGTTGAACCTGCTCCACCGTCCCTAAGCTGGCCTCTCGGATCGCTGCGTAGAACTTCTTCTCCTCCCACGATGGTCCAGTCCAGAAACTGATATCGAAGCTGAAAGGCTCTGGGTGCAGAGAAAAAGGACAGAAAGGCGTCCCGGGAGGTGGGCCATGTGAAAACTGTCTTATGAAACGTGGCTCGTGAGACCAAAGCAAACGCCAGTCAGGGAGTGAAAACAGGAGAAGGTGAGGAGGTCCAGGTTCAGAGAGACAGTGATGGTGACATGGCAACTATCAGCTACACTGCTTTGAAAAACCTCACCAACCAAACCCAGTGGCTCTACTGTCAACTGCAGGCTTCTCTCCTCTGTTGCTACAGAGACTCTGTAGGGAGAAAGGAGTTTGTCCAGCCTACTTCTTAGTAATTTAATTGGCTCGGTGTCTGAAGGGAAAACACCTCTGAGGAGAAGCTGGTGGAAAGCAGGCAGGGCCCACAGGCTGATGGCTATGTTCCTGAACACCACACCACTAATGCCAAAGAATGAGCTGATGGCACCATTACAACCCTCATCGTTTTTATTCTTTTCCCCTTCAGACCTCACATCTCTCCCCCCACTCCCCCCCTGAAGCTGTGCTTCTTTTCCAGCCAGAAACTCGTTCAGCTGAGGGAGCAATGACGGACGCAGCACATATAGACTGCTTTCCACTTCAGGGTGAACATCACTGGAGCACGCCGGCCATAAGCTCTTCATCCTGCTCTCTTTATTGCAGGCAGCTTTTGAAGCACTTGATGCTTTTTGTATGTTTGGATCTTTTCCTTCAGCGGGACAGGTGAGGTCTCTCTGCAGCAGGTGGACCCAGTAACAGGACTGTCACAGTCGTTCACACGACAAGACGGGAGAGAAAGTGGACTACGGAGTCAAGTTTTATCGCTTCCCGAAGTGGAGAAAACATCACGGTAAATGTGTGGAGGAGCTCACAAGGAGACGCCAGATGGCGTGGATAGCTGCAGTGAGAAGGAAAGATCTGACTTTCAACTACATTCCTCCATCAAAGAGGGTGTGTTCTCTTCATTTCTACTCAGGTAATTTCATTTAACACAACTTTTAAAGGCTACACGTGAAGCTAACATTATAAATGGCATATTACGTTTGTCGACAACCAGAAAGTAAACAATGAGGTGGTGAGTTCGTTCCCCTCATCTAAAAAAAAAATGAAACATCTTCCCTTGGTGCGTGTGTGTTGTACATACTGATGACCATTTTGACCGTTTCCCCTACAAAGTGAGGACATTTTCTTGGTCCTCACATTTTTCAGAAGCTTACTAGTAGGGATGGGCGATATGGCCCAAAATTGTTTTCACAATAATTTTAGGTATTTATTACGATAGCGATAAATATATGTGTGTGTGTGTATGTATGTATGTATGTATGTATGTATATATATATATATATATATATATATATATATATATACATATACATATATCTTCCTAGATTTGTTGTATGAAATATATACAGTGATAATTACACAATGGTTCAAATAATGACAAGTTTAAAATGTATACAGCTTCTGTATTTATTTGTACTTTTACTGTGCATAAACAGTAGCAAAAATAGTACAAAAAGCAAAAGAAAACCATTTCTCCAGTGCCTTCAGTTGTTTCAAAATTACAACGGAGTGCCACCGTAAGTGAAACCTTATAACATCATATTAGGGCTGCATGATATTAGGAAAACCTGCAATATTCGATAACGGTGCTTAATATTGCGATATTGATATTACTTGCGATAAATGAACAAATACTAAAGTATGCAGTGTTGATGTCGTCTGGCGTGTGACGTCTGCTCTGGGTTCAAAGCAAACAAAAACTAATGCATGAATTCCATGACAACATACCATTTTTATTGCTAAAATATGTAGCTGCACCTGCTACTGTATTAGCAGCAAAACAACAAACTGCATGCATGCAGTTTCTCAGTGACTTTAACACATCACCACCACCATAAAACTTTTTCTGATGCTCCAAATACAGAAAAACATCCCTTACCAGGGTTTTTTGAATAAATAAAAAAACTCAGAAAATGAGTTTAAATGTTAAATAATAGTTAACATCACTTAAACGCAACAGCAAATTCTCTCATTGCTTCTGAACATTTTCTCCATTTATGTGGTTATGATATTAGGCTGTTGCTGCAATTGGGAAGTGAACTGTGCTGGGCCAAACTAGGAGAATATTAAGATTTTTTGAGGGAAAGAGAAAAACAATTGTCTACCTTTCAGAAGAGGAACTGGCAAAAAACTACATGGAAAATATGTGAAAACGTTTGTTTTTAACCTCAAATTGAACAAGTTTACCTAGATCTTAAAAAGCAGCTCAGATGATGAAACTGCAAGCAGTGGCGGCTGGTGAAAAATATTTTTGGTGGGGCTGTGCTATTTTTTTTTAACAAACTTGTGCTTTCTGAGCTTTGTGCACAACTTCACTATTTCCTGAATTAAGCACAGCTCTTTTATTTCCTGTCTTACATCATTGGACAAACTGATTAATCCAGGTGCGTCTGACTATTGGCACGCTGCCTTGCGGACCAAGGTTGAAAAATACTGCATTAAATTGCACATAAAATAACATGACCATGAATGGTCCACATCCACATTACTGTTTGTGAAACTAACATACTGGAGAATTTCATCACAATAATATTAAATAAACAAGTATGTACCTGATCTTTTGCATGCTGTTGGTGAAGCTCTGGATGACCCCTGTGATGGAGACAGAGTCAATGTTCCTCTTCTGCAGCTGGTTTAACAGCATGTCCACGTGTGGCATGATCTTGTGACACAATGCCAGCAGAAAGCCGAAATCTTCTTCCTCCAGCATTCTCACAAAGCCTCCTGCCTCTCTCTCAGTGATTGGATCAAAGTCATCCGAGTCTCTGATCATCTGGAAAAATCTGAGGAGGTCATCCTTGTGCTCATACACTGTGTTGACATCTCTCTCTTGGACAAAATGTGCCGGTTCTGATCCACTTCTTCCTTGTGTTTCTTCACTGCAAGCCTGTGCCCCACGTCTCTAGCTGCATGGCAATGTTAGCTCTGCCTAGCATAGCTAGCTTCATCGTGTTGTCCATGTGTGCCCGGGATAACTCATGTTTCTTCACCTTCTCAGAAAAATGTTTCATGTCCGTAACTCCTGACTCAATCCATGCCTTATCTGTCCCAGCCGTTTTGAATAACAAACACGGAAAGCAAAATAACGCATTAGCGTGATTGCATCCAGCTAGCCAAGCCTTCCTGGTGTACCAATTTTGGGAGAAGCCTGTGTGTACAGTTTACCTCTCTCCTTCTCCTGCTGGCTTATCTTTACGTCGGGCTGATCTGGTCCAAGCTCTTTGACATTAAGTTTTTCCACCATAGTTCTCCTCTCGAACGGATACTGGAGAAGAGACCGAACTGAATTCAGTGGCTGCTGAGATCTGGTATCCATGCTGGTTGTAGGCTCACTGGCGGTGTCCATGTTACATCTGCGTCACGACCAAAAACGTGCTGGAGTAGTCGAGACTCTGCCGAGTTCTACCGAACACCAACGAAAGCCTTGGGCGGTACCTCTATCGCCCATCATGCTTCTGAAACAACGTCGACGCTGATTGGATACATTCCCATTCCTACCGTTTGATTTTCTTGTCAGCAATTGGCCGGCTGCTTCCGTGCTGTTTGGGCGATTGAAACACAGCCAACAGCCTTTCTGTCGCCTCCACCGCTCGGCAGAGAGCTTCTCACCAATATAGATATATGATTTGTTTTTGTTACAAATCACACAATTAACTTAGAATATGTGATTCTAAGCTAAGACTCGTGCTCTCATTGGTTCCACCCAAGTTCCTCCCACTGACGCTAGAATCGAGACAAAAAGATCTGTAACACTGTAGATTTGAGGTTTTTACCTGTAGAATGAAATGTGTGTTTTGAGAGTTTTGATTTCAAACTTGTACCTTGATTTTTTCAATTTGGAAGTCTGCTAGTTACAAAACGAAAGTTTCATGTTTCTGAATGAATGTTTGATGTTACAAAATGAGTAGTAAATGTACAAAATAAAAGTTTGATTTTACAAAATAAAAAATACATGTACAAAACACAATGTTCCTGTTACAAAACAAGAAATACAAGTACGAATTGAGAATTACAAGTTAGAAAACTAAAGTTACAAGTTATGAATCCAAAGTTACATGTGATGAAACATGTTCAAAGTTACAAAACTTGGTACAAGTTACGCTGAATATTGTCCCAATCCTAGCTCCATAGGGGCTAACATCACCACCCGGTGGAAAACTAGCGACATGGAGGTGGGTTGATTCACCGGCACGTGTCGAAGTCAGCCCGGTAAAAATGATTAACGACACCGAGCGGACTCACGTTCACGTTTGAAAGCAGCGCTGATTCCAGAAACCTCAGCACAAAGTGCGCTCGTTGCTCTGAGCCAGCGTGACGAACAAGGGAACGGCGCAGCTAAGTTCTGTTCGGGTGTTGCTTT